TGTTGAAACAAAATTTGGACAACTTACGTTTATAGCTGCCTATTTGCCATTCCAATGCGTAGGCCAGCAAAAGAATTTTCTCAAGGGTGACCTCCAGAAACTTACCCGTCATAGGTCTAAATTCTTCATTATTGGTGATTTTAATGCAAAACACCGCTCATGGAATAATGCTCAAAGCAATTCCAATGGTAATATTCTGTTTGATGATTGTTCTGCAGGTTATTACACTATTCAATATCCAAACAGCCCAACATGCTTTTCTTCTGCAAGAAATCCCTCAACTATTGATTTGGTCTTAACTGATTCATGTCATCTTTGTAGCCAATTGGTTACCCATGCTGACTTCGGTTCTGATCACCTTCCAGTAACTTTTGAAATATCCCAAGAAATAATTTCTAATCCCAACAGCTTTACTTTCAATTACCATAGGGCTGATTGGGAGCAATATCGAACATTTATGGAATATAACTTCGATCCAAACATTCCTTTGCAAACCAAAGATGAAATTAATTATGCCCTTGAATCTCTGACTACTTCTATAGTTGAAGCAAGAGCTGCCTCAGTACCAAAATGCGAGGTTAAATTCGATTCAATTATAATAGACGATGATCTTCAGCTCTTGATCCGTCTTAAAAATGTCCGTAGGAGACAATTTCAAAGAACACGCGATCCTGCCATGAAGGTTATCTGGCGGGATTTGCAAAAACAAATTAAAAAGCGATTCTCTGCCCTGAGGAACAAAACTTTTGAAAATAATATTTCTAAATTAGACCCGAGTTCCAAACCCTTTTGGAAACTCACAAAAATTTTGAAAAAACCTCAAAAGCCTATTCCAGCGCTTAAAGAAGGTGGTAAAATTTTGATCACAAATTTGGAAAAAGCTCAGAAACTTGCTAAGCAATTCGAGAGTTCCCATAATTTCAGTTTGGGTCTTACTAGTCCTATTGAGAATCAGGTTGCTCGGGATTTTCTGAATATTTTCTCTCGGGAAAATATTTTTGATGATTCCTGGGGGACTGATTTGGACGAAGTAAGGTCTATAACTAAAAAATTTCAAAAATATGAAAGCTCCAGGTGATGATGGAATTTTCTATATCCTCATCAAAAAACTCCCAGAGAGTACCTTGTCTTTCTTGGTAAAATTATTTAACAGATGTTTCCATTTGGCATACTTTCCTGATAAATGGAAAAATGCAAAAGTTGTTCCAATTTTGAAGCCGGATAAAAATCCAGCTGAAGCTTCTAGCTACCGTCCAATAAGTTTGCTTTCTTCAATAAGTAAACTTTTTGAAAAAATAATTTTGAATAGAATGATGCTTCACATCAATACGAACTCAATTTTTGCAGATGAGCAGTTTGGATTTCGCCATGGGCATTCAACTACTCATCAACTCTTAAGAGTTACCAATTTAATTCGTTCAAACAAATCGGAAGGCCACTCAACTGGAGTTGCTCTTCTAGACATAGAAAAAGCATTCGACAGTGTTTGGCATGAAGGTTTGATTGCTAAATTGAAAAAGTTTAATTTTCCACTTTACATTATGAAATTAGTTCAAAATTATTTAACTGACAGAACTCTGCAGGTAAATTATCAAAATTCCAAATCTAATCGACTACCTGTTAGAGCAGGAGTTCCTCAGGGTAGCATTCTTGGGCCTATATTGTATAACATTTTCACTTCGGACCTCCCTGATTTGCCTCAGGGTTGCCACAAATCTTTGTTCGCTGATGACACAGGCATTTCCGCTAAAGGAAGAAGTTTTCGTGTTATTTGCAGCAGACTTCAGAAAAGTTTAGATATTTTCTCTTCTTATTAACAAAAATGGAAGATTTCTCCCAACGCTTCCAAAACTCAACTTATAATATTTCCACATAAGCCTAGGGCTTCCTTTTTGAAACCTAGTAGTAGTCACATAGTCACTATGAACGGAGTTCCAATTTCCTGGTCAAACCAAGTGAAATATCTTGGATTAGTTCTTGACCAAAAATTACTTTTAAAGATCACATTGAGGGCATTCAAGCCAAATGTAACAAATATATAAAATGTTTGTTTCCTCTTATAAACAGGAAATCCAAACTTTGCCTGACGAATAAACTTCTAATATTTAAACAAGTTTTTAGACCGGCCATGCTTTACGCTGTGCCAATATGGTCTAGTTGTTGCACTACCAGGAAAAAAGCACTTCAAAGGATTCAGAACAAAATTCTGAAGATGATTTTGAAGTTGCCTCCCTGGTACAGTACTACCGAAGTACATAGAATTTCGAATGTTGAGACTTTAGCACAAATGTCCAACAAAATAATTAATAATTTCCGGCAAAAATCGTTACAATCCTCAATTGCAACGATTAATTCCCTTTATACTTAGATAAGATTTAGTTTTAGTTATTTAGTTTTAAGCTATCAATTGTTATACTGACATGCAGGTTTAAAAAACCTGTTTAAAATACTGAATTGCCAAGACATGAACAATGTAAAAACACTTAGATATATATCATAACAATTAAGGCTGGTAAGTTACTGTAGTAACTGGAGCACCTGGGTTAAAAATGAAATGTAATTTAATTTATTTTGAATTTGGAACAAATAAAGAGTTAAAAAAAAAAAAAAAGGAGCTAAATGTATAGAGTTAATAGTTCCGTTGGAAGACGGCAGTGTGAAAAATGTATATAGAAAGTAGAAAGCGAGCAAAGGTCAATTTTGAGAAAGGCACGAATAGGTTTGATCATCTCCTTTACCAAACTCCCCTGTTGGGGAGGGTATCTCTGGAGATCATAAACCCGATTAGTGCCTTCCTCCTTTCTTCCTGAACGTGTATATAAGGGACACTATCCACTTCAAATTTTACGATTATGATCATTTTTTCCCTGAAAATGTTTATCAGACGTGCGCTAGCCATTTTAAATGTAACATTTTTCTCCTGGACTTGTCTACCAGAAACGGTAGCCATTTAAACTAAAATTAACTGTTTTTTTTTTCACTGACCATCAGGAGCGCCAGTCACTTAAAATTTAAAGATTTTTTTTCAATTTTAACCTGAAATGGTTTACCAGAGGCGTTAGCATTCTACATTTTTTCCCTCATCATATTTACCAGGGGCGCAACTGTTTAAATTTTAACATTATTAATAATTTATTCCTACATCATGTTTACCAGGAGTGAAAAAAAATTTAATTTTGATTCGATTTAAAATTTTCCGTAAACTTGTCTTTTAAAATTTATAATTTTTTTAAATGTCTCCCTGATCATGTTTTCCCGGGGTGCAAATCATTTCAAATTTAACATTTTTTTTAACCCTGATTATTGAGGTATATCAGGAGCACTATTTCAAATTTTAAATTTTAATTTGTTTTTAATAAAAGATCTTTAATTATTTAATTTAATTAACTTTAATTATTTTAAACATACTTACCAGCGGTGCAAACCATTCCAGATATTACCTCTATAATATTTTCCCTGAATTTGTATGTCGTTTCAAATTTAACGATTTTGAAAATTTTTCGCAGAACTTGTCTACCAGGGGCGCTTGTCAATTTAATTTTACCAATTTTTCAATGTGTTTCGACTACAATGTGCACTCTTCATCAGTGTCATTCCCACTAAAGAACTTATTAAAATCTAACCCCCTTAAGTACTCATCCCTAGGTAAAAAAGTCAAGATCACAGGTATAAAAATGAAACTACAATGTGTTAAATCGGAACCTACCTAACTAATAAAAACCAAAGATTTGAGTAAATTTAAGGAGAAAAATCTATACAACTCTCTAATAAGGAAAATCCCAATGGCTTGTTTGCCATCATAATGAAGTAATGAAATCGCTCTGTTAGCGGAATGCTTAAATAAAACAGCAAAAAAGGTAATCTTCCATTTAATTCCACTTAATTAATTTTGGTATCCATGACAGGACTTTGGATACCTAGGGAGTAGTACTGAAGGGGGTTCGATTTAAAAAAGTTCTTTAGTGGGAATGACACTGATGAAGACTGCACATTGTAGTTGAAATACGTATCTGTCATGGATACCAAAATTAATTAAGTGGAATTAAATGGAAGATAAATTTTTCAATATCCACCTAAACATGAATATCAGAAACGCTAGTTATTTTTTGTTGCATTATAGGGAAAATGGCTGTAATGATGGCCTATGGATCTAATATTGGGCCCATCGCTAAAAATCTACTATTTATCAATTGTATCTATATGAACGTGTCATTGGGACGGTACCAAACGATATTTTTGGTCACTATTGAAAATTTAGTCTATTGCTGAATTAATGTATGGGCCCAAATTTAGGGACATTAAGGCCGACATTTCATCCATTTCCACTACCTATTTTGTAAACTTTTTTTTTCAGTTTGGAGCTAAGTAGTCGTCGACTACCCTCGACTACCCACAACCACAGCACTGTTAATATAGCAACTAACACTTGATACTTTTGTGAATTATTGATAGGGCTAGGGATAACAACTGAACTGCTCCGATGTGTGTTTTGTTATTTGGAACAGTTTTTGGTTTAGTTTAAAAGTGATTCCTCTTTCAAAGTACTACACAAGACTTCAGTCAAGCTCACTTAAGTGATAAGCAGATATATGCAATTAGTACGTTATGTGCCTATCAAATGGGAGTATTGTAATGTGTATTCTACACATATCCTTTGACAAAAGAATGAGAAACATGATTGAGGATATAAATTAACGCAACACATTTTTATAAAAAGTCTAGTATATATTTTTTAATTTTCATTCACCACCCAGTATACCACTAACCAAGCGCTTTCAAAGAGCACCGGAACAACCCGCCGAGCATTTGCGAATAACTCTCCCTCTCCCCTTATCTGACTCTCTCTGAACTCTCTCTTCTCTCTCTCTCTCCGGAGCGCGCGTTTCGCGAATCGTCCACCACAATTCCGCGCGCGGCAATCTCGCGGGCGGCAAACCGTGCAAAACCCTATCGAATCCTCTATGGGTTCGATCAGGTTTTTATTCTGTCTCATTCCGCCACCGCTAATCAGTCGCTCTCGTATGCTCGGACTGGCTGGACGCTTTCCATTCGGACCACGATTCCATCCCATTCTCGGCTCAGTGCACAATCGTGTTGGAGTTGTGTTTCTTTCTTCTGATTCTACAGTTTAGAATATTCACCTGCCGAAAGCCTTATAAAAAGAACTCCACACTGCAACACTACAGGGACCGCGCGAGTATCGAACCCAGGTACATATTGCCCGCGCTCGGAGTGGAAGCATTGAACAATCAATCCGGCGGTTGGTTGAGTCATTGGCGGCCAATGTGGTATTGTGTCTCTCCATGACTACACGGCCGATTGGTGGCGATTGATTACTCGGTGCTGTCGGTGCTAAGTAGATAGATCGCAAACAGAAAACAGTGCACCGTTTCTTTTCTCATAAGCCGGGCAACGGAAAGTGTGATCAAAAGTGTGGAAAATTCAGAAAAGTTGTGTGGATAAAGGTGTGACAACTAGAAACCTCAATCTTGGTTGAACTGACGAAATTTGAAACACAGAAAATAATACAAAATAAGACGAAAATCGATTGGTGGTACTGGTGGTCACAAAATTCAACAAACCGTTTTATGACTTCGAGGCAAATTTCGCGACAACCGTCGTCACGTGAAGAAACCAAAACAACAGAACCGTAAACCTTAAAGTATTGAATTTTTCTTCTTCTTCTAACAGAGCACTGCCAGCCTAAGTATTGTTTATTGGTCCTACCCATTCAAAAAAAAAAAAAAAACCAGTTCATTTTTGATTAAGACAAAAAAGGTAGTTATTACTGAATTCAAGTGAGCCCACTGGATGAGAACAAATTGAGACAGCCCACACAAGTGAATGAGTAAAAAGTGAACATCAAAAGTGCGATAAGTAGCAATTGGGACAGTGGAAAAGAAAAAAAAAGGTTGGATTAACACAATCTGTGACGTGCGTGTCTGTGAGCACACTGAAGACGAGAGCATTTCGGGGTAAGTCTACTCTAAGTGTATTGCAATCCTATTGAAATACGAAGCCGCAAGGTGGAAGCGCATATCGGGTTTCTTTATCAGGTGGATGATGTGCCAAGTTAGGAGTAAATAGATAAGCTTTGGAGAGTGGAACCTCTCGCCATGCAGAAGGCTTATCACAGAAGAATGAGGGAGTGGAAGTCACGCTGTGGAATTTGCAACGTTCCTATCTAGACAGCAAGTAGGTACGATATGGCACTCGGATGGTGACATTTTTAAGTGCATTGTGGCAAACTGTAATGATGCCAGGGAGCAATGGATGATATGACATTGCTTTTCGAAGGAAATTTGCATTGTAATGTCAATCATGGAATGGAGTTCTTGATGTTTTACAGAATGTTTTTTAATTTTGTGTTTGAAGGTGGAAGATCCCTTATGTAACCAAATCTGTGAAAAGAGTCTATGTGCCAAATGTAAACAATGACTTTAAACTTCGATTTTTCGAGGATAAGAACTTTCATGATTTTCGACTTGATGAAAGTTTAGAAGACTTTTCTGTGGCATAATGCTGCTGAATCTTCTAGCAATTCCAACTACTGTCAAAATGACAACATGTTACTGAATATGAGTAAAAATTTTAGCAATATTTCACTGCTGATTTTTTTAAACATTCCAAGATTCTGACATTTGGCAGCTCAAATATCGTTGATACAAATACACATATAATAGAGACAAAATGACCAGGCTCTTTTGCACGTATAATTTATTAAATATAATCAGTGACCTTACCTTAATAATTTTATTTATTTGTAGTTTTGTTTATCTCGTCCTCCTACTCCGGTGTGTATGTGTGTGGGTATGAATGCAAATATACTTGCGACTGTGACGCCAACAGTTTGGTCACGCTTTGCTGGGTGTCCAGCAGGCCGATTTTTTGGTAAAAAATATCGTTAGATTTTTTTTTTGTCTTTACTTTTGTGTTTTTTAGCCGTAGGTAGGCTAGTTCATCACATTTGATAGTAAATCAAAAGTAAAATCGTTAGAATGTGTTTCAGTAAAGCATTGGTTTGCTGATCATGATCTAGCAATCCGTTTAACTTGTTGATTGCGGACGATAGGATTCTTTTTTACTGCGTTGTGATCAGTATTAGATTAAATTAAAGGTGACCGAATATTCTACCGACCTGCCACGTTGGTGGTATATACAAAATACGTACAAACACAATACGGTATAACAGTCATTACAAAAAAAAAGTGGCTCAAACACTTATATTTGAAACTTAAATTTGGTGTGTATAATTATTTTGCTTGGGTGTGTTTTGATTCGTGAGCAATCGACGTTCAAAGACATTGTTTACGTTTGGCTTCACATGCCACTCGAGATTTATGTTTGTGTTATTATTTAACCAGTCAATACACATTTTTATTGCTGTAAAAAGAAGGGCAGGCCAACTGTTACATTTCCTTCAATACAGATTAAAACAAATTTTGGAATGGTCGTTTAAAATATTGCATAAATTTTATTTAGTAGTTGATAGGTGTTCAGATTATGTGACTAATTGATCTTTTGTAAAAGAGGTGACACAAAATATTGTTTCAACCTTGTTTGAAGCTGTAAAGTGATAACGTATTAGAACAAACCATTGAAGAATGTTAGAAAGATAAAAAGTATTATGCACAATATACACATATTCACTTAGTATTGTTACGGAAATGTTGGCACCACCAAGTGCCAGCTGAGTCTCGGGAAATGTTTCGCTGAATCTCAGTTAAAAAATCAGTAAACAAAACTAAGTGTGAAGTTTTCTTTTGATATGTAGAAACATGATCAATAGACTGATGTCAAATTCTAAATGGTTCTGAATCAGATCATGATTAACCTCCCAATACTAGAACTCATTTGTATAGAAACTGACTGTGCGCACATCAAACGGTTTTTAACTCTTCGGGCACCACACTGAAAATGGAGTCGACAATTTTTTTCAAAATGATGTATCTCAGTCGCTATTTATCCGTTTTCAAATGTTTTAATACCGTTGCATAGGTCACATCCTAATATTTTCATTAGATTGTTATTCACGCTCCCTGATTGTGTCATAGCTTCATAAAATCAGGATTACCACATTATAACAAAATTTTCGGAAGGTCATTATTGTAGGGCAATTAAAAATGTGTGCATGGTGCATTCTATTAGATACTCTTATAGGCTTTCAGGAAAAAATATAAAAGGACAAACCGATCATCTTCAACTTGCTGAAACGACATGTCTACCGACTCGACAAAAACTGAAAAACCAAAAGATTGATTAACTATCAAACTCGTCATTTTGTGCTATGCTCAATCAAACCATCAAAAAGGAAAATTAATACCCTTTCCAACAAGATAACAACATCAAAAATACATGAAAATTTACCGAAGATATTGCAAAAATAGTGAAAAGTGTGATTTAGGTGTGGTAGTCGAAGAGTTAATGCTACTTACTATATAGGAAAACCAAATTGTTTGTTCCAGTGTTGGAAAAGTTCGTGATATTTCACGAAGTTCACCATGGGAAAAGTTCGCGAGTCATAGTGAGTTTTCGCGAACTTTTCCATCACTGGTTTGTTCATTGTCTTCTGCCATTTTCCAAATTCCTCTACACTTTAATAGAGAAACAAATTCCTCCGATGAAAAGTTTGATTATTCCCTTGTAGTAATTTATCTCAGCTATTATTTTGCTGCAGATTGTTTTTCAATCAAAAGTCATGTGAAATAGCTAATAATTAAAATAAGATATCTAGATAGAGCTGGAATTAGGGCGTAACAGCTTTTGTAAGCAATGACTTCTATCGATGATTTCTAGGAACGCAGACGCACACCAACATAACCATCGGAAAGGGATGTCTTTTCCTACCCGATGAAGAGGTTGGTTTGCGTGGACGAGCCTTGAGATTCTAGAAATAATCATCATTTGAAGTCAAAAGCTGTTAGGCCAGGAACACCTAAGGACTGTTCCTTAATGAAATGTTTACTTTCTTCTTAACTTTTTGTTGTGCCGCAGACCAAAAAAGTTAGCCCCAAATTTTTATAGGGCGCAGTTTGGGGGATTTTGGGATTTTTCGACAAAATCGACTTTTTCCTTCTTGAGCATCTCCAACGTAGCAGAAGCATAGTGAGCAGATGCCAGATGTAGCCAAAACAATGGATGATCCGTATGCTTTCGGTAGATGGGTAGAAGCCGTTTTTTGGTGCATTCTTCATTTTCAGTAATTTTCACCATTGATTCTGCCCGTTGTGAAATACGAAGAACTCTTCAAGCCACAGGAGCAACTGGCTTGCCACACCAAAACCTTTTTTCAAAATTTTTCGGTTCGAATGTAAGGCACATCATCAGGCACATCTGTTCTCTGCTCAGCGTTGAAAAATTGTGGCTCGGGAAGTGTACTGGTATCCAATTTGACGTCCGGCTCGTCGTCCATCAAAATGCACCGGTTCGGCTTTTGAAGGAGAACGTCATACATGTTCCGTGACCGTATTTTCGAAGAAGTTTTCTGTGAATCCGTCCTTTTGGGTGCTTTTTGCTTTTTGTAGGTTCTGATATTGTTACGTTTTTTGAGATTCTGCATTGACCAATTTTTTGGCAATTTCACGGACGGAACACGGTTTATGCGATTTCAAAAGGCGTACTGCCGCCAGTTCCTTTTTCTGGTCCGATGCCCCTTTTTTGCTCCCAAAATTCGGTAAATCTTCAAGAGAACACGTTTCTCCAAACTTCTTAACAATCTTGAACACTGTAGATTTACTGCACTTCACGCTTTTTGTCAATTCTCGAAACGAGAACTTTTCGGAAAACCATTTGTGCAGAATTAATCGGCGAGTTGATAAGCTGATCAGACCCATTATTCGGAACTTCTCACTTTATTCTTTTATTTTCCGGTGTGTTGCCAAAATAAACAATGTTTTTACACACTGAGCGAAAATTCACAATTTTTCATTGATAAACAGGTGTCCCCTTTCTTTATTGAACAATCCTTATGTGTTACCTCTCTAACCTCGAGTAAGCCGCGAGTATTCGGCCCAACTCCTACTAGACATAGAATTAAGAGAATTTTGTTACAAACAAAGAACAATGAACTATCGGCTCCGTAAAGCTAACGCGATTGAGCCTTCCAAATAAACGAACTAGATAAAAAAAAAATCTTATGTTGCCAGCTGAGCCGTAAATTGAACATGATCAGTGTTCTGAATCATTAATAACATTGGTTCCTTATGTTTAATCGAAAAGTGGTCGTGGGAAAAGTTATAGCTGAGAAAATGATATACAAGCATAGGGTTTTTGATCTAATTTCCGTCCTACTAAGCACAACGCGCACTTTACCTCTCTTTTATGCACGAGTTTAAACTGAAAATGGAATATTTCTGTCAAAGATGACTTCTAAATTTATTCACCTTTCCATATGTACCGTTAGATTTGATAAAGAGTCACAAATTGTTGAGATATTGTTTAAAATCTAATACTGCTTCTTGATTCTAAATTCGTTCTATGAGTTTCAATTCCGTCCTAACGCATTAAAACGCCATTAGATTTTCTTCGTCCTACGGATAAACGTAGAAAAAGGGGATTCGCTAGGAGCGCTTCTTTTGTTTTGAGAACAATGAGCGTAAATATTCATACAATGCGCTCTAACAGGATTCATGTTGTAGCTAATGAGCTAACGCATCGGAACAAACCTATTATTGCTTTGTGTACGGTGGAATCATTGATATTATTGATCTTTTCTGATCGATAGAACGGAAATGGGCGATTACGACGAAGTAGCGCTCTACCCTAATTCTTAATTTTAGCAATATGGTTAATAGTAAGAAATAAATAAACACGAACAAAAAGTTTGCTTATCTCGTAGTAATTTCCTTATTGTGCACATTCAATTATTAACTAAATAATTTCCGTTTGGCACTAGGAAGCAAAAATTTCAAAATTTGCCTAACTGATCAATGATCAATTATATCTTGCTTCATGATTGAGATATTTTAGAGTCATA